CTAGGGGGAAGAACTTTTTTTACCATAGACATAGCTCACTATAGGCTACAAGATGCGCAAAACTCCGACTGAAAAGCGCTCTGGCACCTGGGAAAGTTCCCTTGTTAGTGAAACGACTTTTTTGAAAATTTTCGAGCACCCATATTAACCAATCACGATCGTCTACGACGATGCTCTGAAAGATACGGTAGTATTATACCCCAATTTGATGATCTTTTATTGTCATGTTGCATAGAAAGAAGCACAATGATTTACAAAGATAAAAACGCTGGCTTACTGCTTTCGTACATTAAGGTCATACACGATTCAGTTTATTTTATATTTCATTTGTACTATGCAAATTTTAAATCATTTTTCACTAATAACAATTCATTGTTTGCACTAACACATCTGAACAAGCTTTTACTTTCTTTTGATTTTGCTTTCAAAATCAAAACAAAAAGTGATATTGATCATCAATATAATTGTTTTCTACACTTTCAAGTGTGCTCTACAACATAGCATAAAAGTTCATTTCGAATTTTGAAATAAATATTTAATGCTTGAAGTAGTGCGTTATGTGAACAAGCCACAAGATGACAATATATCAATCGAGACTTTTGTTATGTGCTTTATAAATAAATTCTGGCCTTTATTTATTGAACCAGCAAAAATTTAGTTTACGTCGTTTCTATTTCGAGATCATGGTAAATTATGAAAAATTTCATCCAATAGTATAATGATAACACTAAATAAAAAAAAAGTATTCTAGAATTAGTTTTAGTTTACTTTTTTTATACTCTTCATTTTAAAATAGCTGACAGGTTTCTATCACAAAAGATATTTTTAATAATAATAATAGCAAATAGATTTTTAATTAATGTATATATAATAAGAAAAGCTATTACGATATTTGTAATCTCTTAGAACTCTCATCGTGTACATATTATGCATCAAAAAATTTAAAGAAAAACATTATTTCTCATTATAATAGTATTTGAAACATGTTAATTAGTATAGAGGTTCTTTTCTTTTAAAATCTTCGAAAATAACATGCAATGAAAATCTGTGATAAAAATCCAATAGTGTATAAAAGAATTATTTTATGTACAACTCATCATTAGCAAGTACGTTCTTATCATGCTTTCAAAATACATTTCTAGAAAGAATTTAATCTATTAATTAATATTAATACAAATATTTAAGGAGTGTCTTTACTATCCCAACTGAAAATTTTCTATTTTTTTCTCGATTTTTATTCTTTTATGTTTGATATGTAAATTTAAATAGTTCACGTCAAGTAAATATATTTTAAAACGTCAACTCATCGTTATTGTGTATGAAAAATAAATTGAAAAAAAAATGCTCCATTTCATGATTAAAAAAAGTCAGAAATGAGAACTATTTCTGCGGTTTTTCACAAAAACAGGCTTTCAGATAAAAAAGTTGAAATTTTCTTCCCTTGTTTTTCACACAGTTCGGCCGATTGAGTATTATCTAGAGCCTCAACAACAATATTTTTCAAAAGAAAAAAAAACGGCCAAGCAAACTTGATCCTATATGCCACAGAAAAGTATTTCAATCCTAAAGAACAATATGAATTTTCGCAGAGAGAAACTCAAATCTCGCAAAATTTCGCCAAACCGTACTTGTAAAAGCTGAGTAAGATGAGGATTCTTCTAGTGAAACTATCGACTACTAATAGAATACTAGATTTCCAACTAAAGAGAAAGGTTTCGTTGTTTATTTTTCTTACAAATATTATTTTATGGAAAATAAAATTTCTAAAATTGAAAAACAAATATTAAAGTATTTTGTTTTAAAGTTAGTAATTAGTCATATCTATTGATATATTGTCCATGACTGGTTATTAATAAAAAATATAAATATCTTCTATTCTTAAATAAAATAATGTATTTTATCAGTTTATTTATTCTGTTAAAAGAAATATAATAGAAATAGTAAATGTATTTTTAAATTCTTTTAGATTATTCAAATTGAAGAACAAAATCAAGAAAAAGTGAGACCCTATTATATTGTTGTCCATTTAAAAACAATAAATTTATTTTATATTCTTTAGATTAAATAGACAATATATATATAATGTCAACTGATAATACAGTAAGCATTTCAAATAAACAAAAAAATCGTTTATTATATAAGGATTGGTAAAAATAGAAAATATTAATTATTTTTGTTGATGTTTAGCAATTTAATTTTAATTCTCCACGGTCTAAGTTAGTTCATCCAAAAAGTCGTTTAATAATATTTTTCATATTATGTATGATAATAATTAGTCTTACGATAACAACAATAACATTTGCTGGTTTATTGAATCGTTTAAAATCTCATTCAAATAATGAATATGTAGTTGCTAAAGGTACAATAGATTTTCCTCTTGGTTTACCTAATCATGTAAAATATATTCAATGAATATTTTTGCAATTAAATGATGCTTATAAAATGCTTTCATTAGATGAAAGACGAAAAAGTAGTTTAACTCGTGTTCGACAATTATTATTAGAAGAAAATACTATTTTATCTGGCGATTTTCTTTCATCATCAGTATTAAGTTAATAAAAAAATAAATGGACAACAAAGTGATTGCATATTTGAATGCAATAGATATTGATTGTATTACATTTGGTAATCATGAATTCGTTTTAAATAAAACAGAATTACGTACACGAATCAATGAATCGAAGTTTACTTGGATCATTTCAAATGTAATTAGAAGTAGAACTGATCAATCAATTTTATCAACTATTCGATATAAAATATTATCAATTTATGAAATTTGTATTCTTTTAACAATTAATATAAGTAAAGCATATATCATTCGTATTATTAATCAAACATCACTTATTCTATTTGTTTAACAATTTCTTAAATCGATTTCAAATATAGAATGTGATGTTTTAGTTGCATTAACTCATTTAGATTTAGAAATTAATAAACAACTTGCAGAAAATATATCAGAGATTAATTTAATAACAGGCAGACATGCGTATGAAGATTATTTTTTATTACGAGGTTCGGAATATATTCCAATAACGAAAGCTGATGCAAATTCATTTACGGGTTATATTCATCGATGTACTTTTAATTTAAATACGAAACGATTTCATGTTTATCAACCACCAGGGTGTGGGTGTGGGTGTGGGTGTGGGTGTGGGTGTGGGTGTGGGTGTGGGGGTGGGTGTGGGTGGGGGTGTGGGTGTGGGTGTGGGTGTGGGTGTGGG